TAATGATGTGATGTTACATGTACGCCCAATGGGTCCGTCAACTTGGAATCCGAGGTGGTCCATAAGAAATGTCCACTTATGAAAATTACCGATCTCAATCTGTGTGTGTGATAGAGCTCTCCACGTTGCCAGTAGGAAGTGGAAAAGGGTGTGACTGGAATTCATTCATTTTCAACGGAGGAATAGAAGATTTGATTTTTTTGTAGAAGATTAGTTGTTTGTGTGGTGGAAGTGAATGCCTAATATCCTGCCCTTGAATCGAGTAAGGTATCTGAGCTACTTGACTTGATGAGATGTGAAAGAGGAGTAGGCAGATATCCTAAGTTCAAATTTTTTAAAAAATTCGTTATATACAGATTGTGTATATTTGAGGCGTACATTATAATCAAAAGTTCAAAAAAATATGTAATTGAGATGATTCTAGATTATGATAAAAATTTTCAAAAAAAGGTGAAAGGCCCATTGTAGTTATTACAATTTTTGGACATTTTACATGCATGGTTTTCTTCTTTTTTTTTATATTTAGGTTTTGATATATGAGGAAAATAGATTGATTTTTTTTTTGTCATTAGTTAAATAAATTGATAGAGGTTACGATTTAGTGATTAAAGCAATTGAATTATTCATTTTGGTCTTGAACCAATCTTTGCAGTCAATTGTGAAGACAGATTTAATGTTTTTCAACAATAAAAACTTTTACGTCCACGCAAGTTCTTTTTTTTGTTTTTTCAACGGTCAAATGTGTCTGAACCAATTTATGCGCACATTGACTAATCATCTCTCGAGTCTGGTCAAAAACAAACCTTCTATACTGAGACTAAAGTATTATTCATTAGAAATAAATCTCTCATGATCTGATTACAAGAAATTGTCAAAATTTAAATTTAAGATGACGTCTTTGTTATCGCATCATCTATCTTGAGGTTATATCCACTTAAGTTCAATCCTTGACCATGGAATGTTTATCATAATAGTAGTCACATGATGTTGCCAAAAATTTAGTTGGATATGCGTGGTTGCCAATCCATGCAGTCAAACTCAAGGATGGCCTAACCCATAACCATTCAAATCTTCTACCTCTCTCAACTTGTGAAGAAAATTTTTAATGTAATAATTATACCACATTATTATTGTCACGTTATGTAATTAATTAATTATGAATAATTATATATAATTAGTGAATCTGATCAAATATTATAAAACTATGAATAACTTTCACATTCAATATTAACATGTAGATTTTGTGGAGTTTTCGTGCCCTATTTATCTGTTTATTATTGACATGAGGGTAATAACTGGTGTAACCCCTGTATCGAATTTTATCTATGTCAAACCCGAGTAACTCGTCTCAATTAACACCCCTAATTATAATGCAGAAGTGTTCCGCTTGGGTGTATGTAGTTGAATAGGTGCACCTCTGAATCGTCCATGGCCAACGCTTGAATAGTGAACATATTGGCTGTTGATAGTTCCAACCATATCTCTGATAAACATAGGTACGTTATTGCTGACAGTAAGACTCATAATAAAACACAATGGTACAATAGAATTCATGTTATGAACAATGTTTTTTTGGTCAAGTTGAGTTGCGGAGAGTATTCTTTGTTCATTGAGATTGTGCAGTGAATTACAATGACAGGAGGCAATTACCATAAAAATCTTTGAATTTTTGGACTTAAAAAAATTAATTTAATTTGTTGATATAATGATATGGTTTTATAGGAATCATTAGATCAACACTAAGTTTTAATGTTTAATAGAGCTTATAGTCAATCCAAATGTTACAGTGAATTAGATCAACAAATTATGTAAGTAAATTAAGTTCTAATAGTAGTTGCTCATTTTTTTAATAAATAATAAAAGCATAAAAAGATATTTTACGATAGGGTTTGACTATGGTATAAAAAAAAATTCGGTATCATAGGTACCTATACTTTTTTGAGGGTAGAACTAACTATTTTTTTTATTTTTGGATATTGAAAAATAAAATTTTGATACGGAAATATTTTTCTTGACAATAATACCATGTCTGACTTTAAACTGTACCATGATGCTCTGTTCTATCCACGTGAACATTTCATGCTAAAACTCGAAGTACAAAATAACCAAGTATATAAACATTGGAATATCCTATTTAAATGTAAGAATATCCTATTTTTGTGTTGTTATTGTTTGTAACTGGCCAAATCGGCATCAATGAAGCTCTGTTTACTAAATTTGTTTATTAATTCTTTAGGTTAATTATATTAGAGGTTTTCAAAATATGGAATTTGTCTCATTTGGTCCTTAATGTTTCAATTGTATTATTTTGGTCTTTGAAGTATTGAATATATTTTTATATGGTCTCTCAAAAAGACAATGTTCAGATTTCTAACAATTTTTTTGTTATAAACTTATTACGTGATACTTAAATATAGACAAAAAATATAATTTAGATAACTCTTAACCAAATTTTTACTCAAATTTTGGTTAAATTGCTACTTAAATTACACAATTTTAATTATAAGTTATCCAAATTTTAGTCAAAAATTTTTCATATTACACATTTTTTTTGTCAAAAATTACCCAAATTTTATTTAAGAGCTATCAAAATTTTTTTTTCTATATTTAAGTATTACGTGACAAATTTATGATAAAAAATTTTTAGTAATCTGAACTCTATCTGCTTGAAGGACCATATGCAAACATATCCAATATTTCAGAAACTAAAATGATGCAATTGAAATATTAGGGACTAAAATAAAACAAATCTCATACTTTGGTGACCTCCAATACAACTATCCCTAAACCTTTTCTCCCAAATAATGCAGAATAATATTTGGGATTGTTAATAGAGCTCACCTATCTAATGTTGAAAAATATGCAATATTATTTAAGATGAAGATTTAATAAAGAGCAATACTATTGAAAGTTAATTCAATACAATCGTTAAATTATTTTAATTTAATAGTTGTATTAAATTAGGAGTAATATTACACTGACCAAATGTGATTAAATTAAGAGTTCAAATAAAATGACAACTGACTTGAGCTTTTTTATTTAATATCATGTCATTTAGGCCCCAATAAAAATTTAAAATAATATGTTGTCATGTCATTTTGACTCTTAATTTAATTTTAAAATTTAATCCGTATAACATTACTGTTAAATTGGATCTTGAGATTAAGTCCCCAATAAGTCTAAATAATATTTTTCCATCATTAAAATATTTATTAAGCTGTGTGTGAATATTCCTGCGGCGGATTCCCCCTACCCACCTACAAGCACGGGTGTTTTTATATCTTAATGCACGAGATCACGAGACTAAGTGGTTTCGATGAGAGTGATTGGTCAGAAGGATTGGGTTGATCTTGCTGCAGGTTGATGTGCCATAGACTTTGAACAACTTAAATTTTTTAAGTACTGGCGGTGTCTTGAGCCGTGCACATGCCCATTATAAAATATTTTCTTTCTGACTTCCTAGCTGTTAATCCATGCACTCGCGTTTTATTTATATATTAAAGGTAATTCGTACTTGAAAATAACTGTTAATCCATGCACTCACGTTTTATTTATATGTTAAAGGTAATTCGTATTTGAAAATACGGTGTAATATAAATTAATTAATTAATTTAAAAAAATTGAGAAGTGAAAATTCTTGAGAGCAGTGACAGAGTAAAAAATATGATTTAAAGTGCACACAATTTAAGTATAATAGATAAAAATAATATTTTTATTTATATATTTAACTATTTCAATAAATCACTGCAATATTTTTTTGTTCACGTACCAAATTAATGTTAGATCTTGTGCAAAACTACTTTTCTACATAAAGGGAGTAAATCTATTGACGGTGACTCTAAATGGCTATACTTAGTAAGTTATTTGAATCCTTAATCTACCTCTCATGAGAGGCTTATTAAATGAGTAAGTTACCACTAGACTAATCCATTGGGATTAATGTGACTCTCTTGTTAGCTTAAGTCTCAACGTTAATTTTTGGGATCGTGTCGAAAAATAAAAATTACTCAAAAAAGTAATAAGTTTTACTTAAAAAGTGTTACGTTTATCTGAAAAATATAAGTGAACTCAAAAAATACATGCATTCCAAAAGTTAATAAGTTTCACACAAAAAATAATTTAAATATTCCAAAAAATGATAAGTGGTATGACACTGAAATTTTGATTTCGATACCGTAATCAAACTCAACTGAGCCAACTTAAAGCAAAGACAAAAGAGTGAAAATTTAAAATTAGCATAGTCACTAACAGACTTTTGATTCAATAATATTCCTTATCTTGTGAAAATTTTATCTTTTTGAGATCAAGAGTTCAAATCACTTAGGCGAAAAAAAACTTAGTCAATTGATAGAATGAGTCTCAATTGCTTGGACGAATCATATCAAAATCTCTAATATGAATTAGAATCTCCACCAAAATGTAAGTCCTTATTTAACTAGTGTATAGGTTAAAGGATTAGTTCATGCACCCTACTCGAACTCATAAATCTGAACGATATAAACGCGCCTTTAATATAACGAGTACGAATCAGGAATTTTCCCCGTTTTCAAAACAAAAATTAGGATACTCGTGCGGTAGGCTGACATGGACTTGGGCTGCATATGTGCAATTTGAGCGATAATCATGTTGTTGAAGTTGGGCCGAAATGTAAGTCCACAAGAATCCTAAATGATTGGATCCATTCCAAAAGAAGTTGCCCTCAGTCCCCAGCCATTCGGCCAGGTCCAGGAGATATCCTTTGGTAATAATTTTTTGGTTTTCTCTTCCTTTTTTTTTCATAGTTGTATATAAATAGACATGAATAAATGTATTATTTACATAATAATATCCGTATAGATCACTTTTTTAATTTAATGATCAAATATGTTTTTGTTTCATGATGAAATTTTTTTTGCTTAAAAAAACTGTGAGCGAACGGTAACTTCTATTTTCTTGTTTGTTTCTTTTGGGTTGAAAGGGAACTACTGTAGGGCATAAGCTCGTTACCTTTTTTTTGCTCCTTACAATGCGATGGGGATGGCCACCAAAACAGTCGCAAACAACCACTGCAATTGGTTCAACCTGCCATTCAAATTAGAAGAGCTGGTTACATTTCTTAGTGCTCCAGTGGGGGCAACACTGGCCCGAGGTAAGTTACACACTCCAAAGTCATCTGTACCTGCACATAATTATAATCAGAAGAGCATTTATTAATCATGTAAAGAAGAATAGTGGCCGGACTTATTGCTAGGGCTGCAATCGCATTGGAGCTCGTTCAAGTTCGTTTATTTATAAAAGAAATCGATTGTGAACCTGATTTTAGAGCTCATTCAATAAGTAAATCAAGTTTAAACAATGCTATATTCAGCTCGTCTCAACAAACTGAGCTCATTTAGGGATGTATATACATAGATATGATGAGCCAAACATGATGTTGAACACAAGGTTGGATTCAAGTTTAAGCTCAAATACAAGCTTGAGCTCAGTTTGTTCAATCAAATAAATTTATCCGAGCCAAACTTGAACAAGAGATTTGAGCTTGAACAATCCGGTGCTCAGCTTATTTTGGTCTATTTGCAGTCCTACTCGGAGCGATGGAGAGTGCTCATTTTCCTAAGGAATAGGTCACAGATTAAAATTTGAGAACTAGCCTCTCCAAAGTATAGATAAAGTTGTCTACTACTTACTTCTCCCGCACTTTACTATAAACGGAGCCTTATGCACCGGATGCGACTTAATTTCTTTGATATATAGACTAATGTGTTCATACTCACAAAAACCTCGTGACTCATGTACCAGAGCTTCAAGATGTTAAATGAGATCGGTTAAGTGTAATCTCATGCTCAGGGGAGAAGATTCTGCTGGGTTAGAACAAGAACCAGCTTTTCTCATCCCACCACTGCCATCTCCAAAGTTTAGATGCCATCATAAGTGCACCTGGTTCTTCTCAATTTATTGATCATAATTCAGAAATATGAGATTGGAAAGAGTTGGTTGGGGCTTGGGACACTTACATTGGCTTTCTACCAAGTATCTCCACTCATAAGCAATGCCTTCAGAAGACTCCCATTTTGAAGTAAAACCCACTGATGAGTTTCCTCTGGCCAACGGTATCAAACACCTTCTTTAGATCATTGGAGATGTGGCATAGTGATTTCAGAAGTGTTTGCTTGGAGAAACACTTGAATCTCTTTCAGAACTCCGATAAGTGATGGCAAGTGGCTGGTGAATAGATTTAGAAGGAGTAGCTGTTCAAGGAATACAAGCACTCATTTACTCAGACAATCTGGGCATCGAAGGAAACAGGATATGAAATTTTTAAGTTTAGTTCAAGCATGTATGGCATATTTCATTTTGTTTTTGCATATCCATAGTTCAGCATCAGAAGGAAAGCATCGATGCCAGAAATAACTCTGGCTCGTGACAGTTAAGAACAGTGAATTGGAGGCCTGATTTGCTGAAAAATGCACCCAACAATAATAGCTGTGGTGGCTATACTTACCATAGTGACTATTTTGAATATAGGCATCATTTAATTTTTGAGATTCTGAAAGAACTAAATGAAGTCAACACAAATTCCATAAAGACAAGATAGATAAACTAAAAATGAAGCCAATTTCATCTGATTTCTAACTATGCCGGACATACAGCAGCAGTGAAGTTGTAGCCCTAGCCGCGGAAGGAATGTCATAACCAGATGCCATTGTTGGCTCTGGATCCCTTCCAATACTTTTTCTTCTATTTTCCTACTTGGTAGATCACCCACCATGCATGACCGAGGGGGCACACTTGACATTCCCTAACAAGAGCTTATTGAAATTTTGCATGATCAATTAATGCAACTATTTGTGCAAAAAAATGTAATGCATTGTTCCGTAACTCTGTTCATGTGTTCTATGATTGCAATATAGCTCTACAGTAAAGAGAAAAAAATGAAAATATTATGAGTCAATTTCATATGGATCCTTTGACATTCAACGTTGTTAAACAAACACTCCTTCACATGTGGGAAATTATGCAGGCAACCCCTATCAATGTTATTGTTAGAATGTGAGGAGGAATCTATATAACTAGATTTAATGATTGTACAAAATAAATTGTTTAACATAATAATCCTTTCATACAATTAAAACACAAAAGTCTTACTGTCCTGGAATTTCAACTAATAAGTCATAATAGTCGTTATGAGCTGGTCATGCCCATTGACATTTTCAGCAGCCACGGTTGAAATTAAAAATAAGTCCCAATGGAAGGGCTCCACCAAAAGAGGGCCCCACATTTTCACAGATTAGAGATTAAGCATGTCCGGCAATTTGGGTGTCCACAAATTGGAGATCAAGCATGTGGGGCAACTTGAGAAGTAAAGAAATCATTTGGCTTGCTCACTTTTCCACATGTGACGGAAAGCAATACAGATATTGAATTCTATACTTCCAAAGACCAAACTATTCTTTAGCACAATACTAAAAAAAAAAAAAAAATCCTTCCTTAACACTATGGATGGAGCCTTTCTTGAGACTCCACTGCATTTTTGTAAACCATTTTATTTATTTATTTAATGGCCTGATGATTCGTTGGCATCGAAGCTCTCTCTTTTCTCTCTTAATATTGTTGGCCCCTATCTCTCATTGCTTTTAGCTTAAATATATTGTGAAATGCATATGTAACTAAATTGATAACAAGATTATTATACTATGGTTTTAACATACAAAAGCTTGGGGGAACAACTATATATCTATTGAATAAAAGTATTACTAATCAATATTAAAGTTTTTATTCTTATTGCTAGGTTAATTTTCCCTAATTATTGTTTAAATTTGCCCCCTCTAGAGTAAATTTCTAGCTTCTGCGTGAATTGTATTCTAAGAGAGAGTATTGACATACGTAATGAATTAAGACATGCTGACAGTCAAAGATTCACAAAATTGCTTGTTTTTGGCAATATCTCAAGGAAAATAATTGCTTTTCAGTTCTGTGAAATTCTGTCAAACTTGCCATGTGCAATGAAGCATATGCAACCAATTGGACAACAAAGGCCATGAAAGACTATATTATTGTTTTCAATTCATGCCATCTTGGACCACAATTATATTACGGATTAGAGTGTTTGAGTCATTTATATATACCTCGACCAATAACCCTCTCTTTATTTCAGTCAAAGGTAAGTCATCCACGTTAGAACTAAAGAATTTATGAAGAATAAATTTTTTTGATCTAAGAGAATTATCAAGTTTCGAATTCAACATCTACAGTTGATTTCAATCGCTAGTAGACTAGCTTAGGGTTCAAAGCTTAAATTTCAAAATAAGTAAAACAAATATTCATTCACCATTAGTTGAGAAAACAACAAAATAGGAGGTGTGAGTTACTCAAAATGAGCTGATCGGTAATGGAGTCCTCCTGCTAATTAATTGGAGCTAAAATCACAGCCCCTGTCCCCAACCGCTGTCCCAATCTAGCATACGCACAGTCTTCACGCACGAAATACCGATTAACCGGCAATCCTTTCACCTAATTCAACTCAAGTTAGATCAAAATACAAGGTAATTCAACCAAATCAAATGTACTTGTGTTCAATTCCACGTACATTAACATGTGTGTGTACATATATATATATATATATATATATATATATATATATATGCATGAGTTGATGGACCTTCGAGATTGGATGGAGTACAAACGCGGCCTAGGATTGCGTTTGCAATGCAAAATTCGCAATGTTGTCCGGAGTCGCAGTTCCAATCGGCAGCGAACGTTTGTCCTTCCTCGTTGATAATGGCAGAAAATCAATGAGAAAATAAATACGTATTTAAACTGAAACTTCACTTTGAAATTGGAGATTTTAGACTGACCTTGAGATCTGTGAAGTGATTATTGGAGAGAATGAACACTGATGCGATGCAGTGATTCATCGAGCTTGATTCTCTGCAGAGTATCACAGTGATGAGAGGAAGAAGAATATATAAATACATGAAAATGCATTATATTTTGTTAATGTACGTGGAGAAAAGGTGCAGAGAGAGAATTATCATGGCTTCGTCACAGGTTTGTGTGTGTGTGTGAGAGAGAGTGTGAATTCCCGCTCTCTGGGCAGTTATATAGAGCTGTTTAATCCCGCTCTTACACGAAGTGCGAAATTTATTTTTTCTGTATATTCTGTTGTTTAAAAGTTTTTGGGTAAATATGGTAATTAATTCTTAAATTTAACCCCTGTTTTAAAATAATTTTAAAATTTTTAATTATCTCAATTTAATCCTTCAATTATTAATTTCATATCAATTAAGTCGCCACATTAATTTCATCCGTCAGAACAAATGGTACAAAGTGGTGCGGATGACCACGTGATAAACACGTGGTTTGCTTCCGTTTATTCTAACTATTAAAATTGGCAAAATGATTTAATAGATACGGAATTGATAGTTTTAGAGACTAAATTAAAATAATGGAAACTTTAAGAATCATTTTAAAATAGAATGTAAAGTTTGGGAACTAATTGTAATATTTACCCTAAAGTTTTCTTGTTTTTTTATATTTCTTCATTAAAATGTTTTTTTTTTGGCTTAAATTTTACTAACACTCTCAAGATTTAGAGAAAATACAATCCACTGCCAGAGGTTCTCAAAAATTTCCAATTTGCCATTGAAGTCCTTCAAATTCATCGATGAATTCATTGGACAACCTTATTCAAAAATGTTAGATTGAAGGTTTACACATCCTTGTTACTAAGAAAATTTTGTGTAGTTTTCGGAATCTAATACTAGCCAATAATGGATTTGTCTTTTGTTTAGAGATTGGGAGTTGAATGATTCAAGGTCCAATGTATATGTCGGGAATCCATACCCACTTAATCATTTAAGTCTTTTAGATGGTGAACTCATCAATAACCAATACTTTTTGAATGCAAGAAATAGTTTTCGATATAACATCTCTACTTCTCAATCAACAAAAATATATCATGTGTATAATTTTTTATTTCACGATGCAGAGAGGGAGAAACGTCTTCTTTAAAGAGTCCTGAAATGAGACGTAGAGAGTGAGAGACAATCATCTTTAGAGTTCTAGAATGAAAGACCTTTAGAAATTTAGGAAATAATTAGGATCGTTGAATTAATAATTATCAAAAGATCCGAGTCACAAAAAACTAAAGATAAATAAACCTAATTACTTTATTTTATA